GCTTTTCAGAGGTGCCCAGTGGCAGGATGAGGAGCAATGGCCATAAACTAAACACAAGTTCCACTTCAACATGAGGAAGAACTTCTTTCCATGGAGGTGGCAGAGCCTGGACCAGCTGCCCAGGGAGGGTGTGGAGTCTACCCCTCTGGAGACATCCCAAACCCACCCAGATGTGTCCCTGTGTCACCTGCTCAGGGTGACCCTGCCTTGGCCTGGATGATCTCCAGAAGTCCCTTCCCAGCTCAGCTATTCTGGGACTCTCTGTGCTCTGCAGCACAACTGAGATCGAGAAGATTTTCAATTCTATGTGACACTCAAGGGCATTGAATTTGTGTTTTAGCAGCTGGGCATTTGTTCCCCAACCACAAAAATAAAAAACCCCGATTTTTGTGCAATATTTGTGCACATCGAGAAACGTGCACAGTTAATAGTGATGGGCAACAGTTACATTTATACTAAATAAATATTTCTGTAACAGTTCTCCATCATCCCTACAGTGCAGGTTTGACTTTTCTCCTTTTCCAGCTGGGGGAAGTCAAACACAAAGATTCATTGCCTTGCCAGAATGAATTAGGGAGAGCCGTGGAACCTGTCTGATGTAGCTCCTACCCCTCCAGGTAATACTGACTGTGTTTATACGATTTGGGAAAAGAAACATGTATTTCATGTGACACAGAGATGTGTTTGAACAGCCCTGGTGGAGAGGGAGGTATTTTAGATGTGGTGGCACAATAATTTCGACTGTCTGTTTATAATGTGGAGGTTCTGATGCTTTCCCTTGATCCCTTAAATGAAAGAAATTCCTTGTTTCCAAATCAGCCTTTGCAAATAATTCACTGTATCACTCAGACCAGTATTGCCCAACCCTCTTTTCCATCCCCAGGAGGGTCATGGAAGACCTCCAAAGGCTTTCAGAGTGGTTTTTGCAGGGAAGGAAATAATCTTTGTCAGCAACAGCTCAGTAATTGCAGCTGATTTGCCCCTGCTGGGCCCTGGTGGAACTCAGGTGATGCTGGTAATTAAGATTTATTAGCTGTTTTCTGATTGGTATAAATATTTGCAGTAAGTGATTAAAGCTGAGGATGGAAGGGAGAGGAAGGAGAGTCACTCCAGGCTTTCAAGAAGGAAGAGCAAAACTGTTAAAGTAAGTGGAGAAATGCTTTGTTGGATTTATGGAGATGTTTACTGCCTGTGTTGTGGTGCCACAAATAATTCACTGTATCAGGCCAGGACTGAGGTTGTTTCTGGTTTGAGGAAACCCCTGGTTTTAGAAAAACACTGTGAAAAACAGACATGAAAACTCAGGGGTGGTGTGTTTCTTCCCTGAGCACTTTATTTGCATTAATGCCTTTGTATCTGGCAGCCTGGTTTTTTTTATTCACTCCTGATTTCTCTCTATGTTCAGGCCAGCACACTTCTGTCTTGTTTTCTTGAGCCTTAGTTACAAAAAAGCCCATCTTGGGGGCAGAGGAATATTAGAGGCTAAGCTTTGAATGTGTTGCTTGATGATGCAAAATATGAGTTAATGTGTGAAAGAAAATACATTTGCATCTGGGAGTGTTTTTCTCACACTTTGATACAGTTGTGCACCAGAGATGATAAGGCAATGATTTTTAGAATAGTGCTATTTATAGTGATCTGAGAATAGCAGCTCTTTATATAGTTAAATGAGCAGAAGGGCTGCTGGTGTGTGTGAGCTGCTCAGCAAAGCTGAGGCAACTCTGGCTGCTGGTTCCAACAGAGAAATATAGTTATAATGGATTTGTTAACAGACTTTGTACTGGGGGGGTTGAAAACTCTGCCTCCAGGGGTTTGGGCTCATTTCATTCCAGTGGAATTTCTTGCTCTCCAGGGGTTTTGGTGCCAGGTGTTGCTGTTCTGTGCTGAGTTTGAGTGAAGCAGAGGAGCCTCTCCCTTGCACAGATATTGGGATTTAGTGCTGACCAGGCTCCAAACCTGCCCCAGGTTGTACTAAAGGAGTAGTAGGGGATGAGTAGTGGTCCAAACTGATGTGTTGCAGGAGGTGTTTCACCCTCCAGTATTTTTAAGCTGCCCAAGGCTGGTAAGAAGGAATTGTTGGTGATCAACCCTGGTCCTTGAGCACTTACCTGGGAGCTCCATCCCGTTGTCCAACAGCCAGGTGACCCGGGGCTGGGGTTTGCATCCTTGGGTGTAGCAGGACAGTGTAATGCCTCTTTCTGTGCCTTGGGATACTTCCAGTACTGGATTAGAAGGGGCAGCTGTGGCAGGAAGATTTAGAGTCAGTATTGGGGCATCTTTCTCCTTGGTTTTCTGAGTGGCTGCACCCAGAGCATCGTCTGGGGGGGCTCAGCTGAGACCAGGATGCTGTTGTGTTGAGCACCATTAAAATTCCATGCAAAACTGCAGGCCTGGTGTTGAGGAGCTGGCTCTGTTGTCCTGCTCCTCTGGAACAAGCAGGGGAAGGGACTTACCCAGTACCTCAACAGGCTGGGCCTTGCTTTGGAAGGGTCTGCCATAGTAGAAGCATCTGTAGGAGCCTTCGTCGTGCACTGTGACCTGGGACAGCTGGATGGATAATTCATCCTCGGAATAATGGATGAGTTTGTACCTCTTGTCTCTTAAAACTGTAAGGAAAACAAAACCCAGCGTGTCACGTGTGTTGGTACATGAGAGGAAGGCAAATAATCAAAGCAGTGGTGAATGAGGACAGTTTTTATAATTGAATTTTTAAAATTCCTCGCTTGATGTACCAGAGCAGTTTTTAATGAAACCATCTCCTAGGATATCTCTACTCTGCTGTACAGTTCCCTTTCTCTCTCTTGACTTTCTAATCTTTATTTCATCCCTCCTGGCTGACTTAGAGGAGCCCTCAAGGTCAGGCCAAGTTCCTGGACTTTTCCCACCGTTGCAACACAGAAACTGTAACTTTCTGCCCTTAAAATGAACCGAAACTGGGGGTGTGCACCAGTCACAGGGAGAAAAAGACCTCAAAAGCTATCTTTTTATTTTTACTATTTTTTTTTCAGCTGAGGTTTTTGTAAAAATACAGAGCCTGGGAGAAAATCACAGCACTTCCAAAGTGATTAAATACTAAACGATTCGGAGATAACCAGGATTTGTTGTGTTTGTAGCTGCAATGAGGCTGGAGGGAACTGATCCACAAAGTGGTTTGTTGGAGAAGCCACGAGACAGAGGCTCCCTGGGGTGACTCAGAATGAAAAATGAAAACTTCCATGTGCAGGGTCAGCTTTGGTTTCTCCTTAAACAGGGACTGTTTTCTTTTGTAATAGAAAAGGAGAATATTTTGTGTGCCTGAGTTATCCAGGATCCAAATGCTTTGCAAACTCTGGTCCTTGTGGGTGTTGTATCATGTGTCTGACTGAGGGGTGATTGTGGGATGTTGGATTTATGGGGGGAATCCTCAGGCAATGGAAGTTTTGTTCACTTGGGTTAAAATCTGCTGCTCTAGACACCCATGGACATGTCTTTTCCCTACCCTTATTAAATTGTGTCAGCTCAGAAAAACTCAAGCATCAAAAGGGCTGAAGCTTAAAAATGCAGATGCTTAAAACTAGAGATGGACAGAATCAAGTGTCTTGGTCCAAAATTGCTTAGAAAGAGTTTGTGGACATAAAGAACTTGGGTAAATAAAGGGGTTTTGCTACCCTTGCCTACCTCTGTGGTGTAAAATAGCAAGAATACAGATCTATGTCAAAAATAGAGATAATTGATGGAGAGAGGATTTCCCTCCAGGTTTGCAGATGAATAGACTGCAAGAGGGGAGAGGAACCCTTGCCTTTGGCTGTTGGGATTTTGGGGGCCTGGATGTCCAAGCAGCACAGGGTGGGTTGCAAGAGCCCCATTTCCCACCTGGATTAGCTGTCAGGGGCTCAGCACGGAGTTGTTTTGGATCCCATTTAAACCTGAGGGTTCAAACCCTGAGAACACTGAACCTGGGATCTTGGATTCCCCAGGAAACAGTTCCACATCCCTACAGGGGTGAGTCACTTCAAATGGCTAATGGGCACTCATCCCACTTGCTCTTGTAGCTGAGTAAATAGGAACAACAGTTACTCATGGCATTTTCTGTTTAGAAACATTGGCAATATTTAAGGGAAGCATCAGTGAGCTGGTTTGGTGTGGGTGTGACAGGACCTGATGGCTGTGATTCCCAGAGCGACCTAGAAGGACTTGGGCAGTTTCAGTGGGAGTTGGGTACCCAATTTGGACAAATCCCAGTCATTATTATCATTAAAACATAGAGGATTTAACAAGGAATGTTTATCAAGGAATGCTGGCTGGGTACTGTGCAAATAGGGAAGGCCAAAGCAGTGCTCATCTTGCAGAGCTGTTTGTTCCAAGAGGAGGAGAGACAGGGAAAGAGGGAAGTGAGGTGTAGGGAGGGGAAGGGAATGCAGTAACTGTAGCTTTGGCTTTGTCAGCACATCTAAGAAATCACTGCTTGTTTCTAAAAACTTTCTCTTGGTGCACTCCATCCAACTCCCTGGTGAGCAGGAGGGTGCCCAGGGCTTTCAGGCACGTCCACCTCTGTCTCTCCCGTGGGACCAGGGTGGGGTTTAGTGCTGAGCTCTGGGTGCTGGGGGGAACTGCAGTTCACTACTAAAAGCTCCAGTGCCAGACCCCTCCTGGGGGGGTTTCCATCTCATCACCTTCCTGCCAGAAAGGGCTCCGCTGTGAAAGCCCCTGGAGGGGTTGGGTGGTGGGTGAGTCAGACCAGGAGCTGGGACAGCCCACCCCGAGTGACCCCCACCCCCGTGGAGAGTGGAACAGCAGCTCTTCACACTCACCCTGCTGGCTGTTGAGAAAAATGGTGAAACCACGAGGGTTCAACCACTGCAGAGCAGAGCTGTGGGCAGCGCTGGGGGGGCTGAAGGTGCAGTGCAGGGTCAGGTCTTCTCCTTCCTTCACAGTCACAGTTTCACTGCCAGCCCCTGGAAACCCCCCTGCCACAGCCCAGGGGGGAAAAAAACACCTCTTAAAGTGTGACAATAAACTTCACAATGTTTTGTACGCAGTAATACTGCAACTGTCCTTTTTCCCGAGGGGTTTTTCTGCCCTTGCCAGTGTGGTTGTACTGATACAAATCAATCACAGTCATTGGAGGGGTCAGTGGGGACTTGTACCCAAGGTTTGTGATCAGCACAACCAGATTTAGTTATTAAATGTTATTAACCATCAAAGGATTGGTAGTAGACCCATTTAATGCACTTGCTCCCTGCATGTTAAAACAAACATTCATTTTCTTTATTCCATTATTGGAACTCCATGATCTTTGAGGTCTCTTTCAACCCAAACCATTCCATGATTCTGTAATTCTGTGTTTCACTGAGGAGCTGCTGAATCTGATTTGCAAGTGTGTGAGACTGAGAAATGGAGGATTTTTTTTCAGCGCCTCTGAAAAACGAGGCTTTTTTATTCAGAAATCATGATGCTGCAACTACTTGGAGACTTCTTGCCAAGATAGGATCCACAAACCTGGCCTGGCACAGGTTACTAAAATGAAATTTCATTCTCTTCTCTCAGTTCATTTTACAGTAAAATGTCTTTTGCTCTCTCCAGACATTCTAAGATATATAATGTATTCTGTGAAAATATTTGACCTGGAATGAATTACCTTCTCCAGAAAAAAAGCAAGCCCTGGAGAAATTACTAAGAGCAGTGCCTGGGTTGGAGTTAAGTAAATAGGCAGTAAGAGGGTTTTGCTTTTCATGCCCTTTTTATGTGTTTTGATTTTATTTTCTGGGCAGCTCTTTGCTGCAAGTTCCTACTGCAGCACTGCAGTTTGGGGAAATGAATCTTTCTGGGCTTCGGGAAAGCTTTTCATGTTCTTGAGGATTTTAAATATATCAGAAATGAAGCTTTTGTGGAGCATTGTTGCTGGAAACTGTTATTTTTGCACTGGAAACAGGGGAAGGACTTGTCTCCCCGTAAGACAGTTGTTTCCCAGGGGGGTTTGTGGCCCTTGTGGAAGGAGGTGCAGTGTTGTTTGAGTGGCAGGGGAGGGTTGTCTGTGGTTTTCCACGGGGCCTTTCTTCATCATGATGGTTTCCCGTCACCGCCAGCAGTGTGGGGTCTTTTCAAATCACACCTCTGGAGGCGAGAACAGCAAGACTGAGCCAGAAATGGGGGTGTTGTTTGCTTTTCTGAAGCAGAGCATACATGTAATTTCCATGGGAGCCCGTGGCTTTGCTCAGCCCATGACTCACAGGTCAAATCCTCCCTGCACGGGGGGCAGTTGGACCTGGTTGTGATCTTCAGTCACTGGGGAGTGGGAGATGCTCCTGTGCCAGCTCCAGGGGACGGGGGTTCTTGTGCCACGTGTGCCCCACTTGGAAAAGCGAGTCTGGCATCAGACACAATGAAATATCCACTTTCTTGGCAAGAAAGAGCAACAATTTTGTGCTAGAAATTGCAGGGTGCACTGAGCAGAGTAATTCATGCCTCTGGTTGCTGTTCTAAGAGCCCCCAGGAAGTGCACTGAGAGCTCAGTGCACTGAGATGTGCACTCAGAGCAGAGCTCTTTGAACCTGTGGCCCACACAGACACCCTGTTTAAAGGGTTATTTTTGACCTGTGAGTGGAGCTTGAGTGAATTGTGCTGCCCAAAGCAGCCAGTGGTGGTCAGCAGATCCAGGTTCATCCTTCAGGAGTCTGGCAGTGAGGGGGGAGAGGGTTTGTACTCTGAGCAGAAGCTTCTGAGGGCATTAGCAAGGTATCATCAGCAGCCCTGCTGTGGTTTCTGCTCCAGGAACTGGTGAGGGAGAGGGACCACACATTCATTCCTCCTGCACAGCTCAGGAGTGAAGCCTGCAGGAATCCTGGGCAAGGATCACTGTCCTGCTGTTTTTTTCCTTAAATCTTTCCCTGTCTGACACAGTCAAATATGAATCTCTCACACTCTCCTGTGTACAAAAGACAGGAGATTAGCAAAGCAAGTATAAGCTACATCCTCTAGCAGGAGCAAGGAGACTGAGCATTTAAAGTGCTTTTCTTTTTGCAAATTCTGACTTTTATCAGCCTCTTTTTCTGCAATGCATACACAGATATCCAAGCCATGGAAAGTAAGCAGTGATCTACTGTCCCAGTTTAAGGGAGAATCCCTTGTTATCTCCAGTATGTCACCAGCTGCTAGGAGGTGACTTGGTCTCACAGATCCTGGTTTTTGGGGTCAGCTGAGACTCAGCTTTGGGAGCAGGGTCACAATATCTTGGTGTCAACCAGAAAACAAGGCAGCAAAGCTGCCTGGTGTGCTGGAAGTGTGGGAATAGAGCTCTCCAGGCTGGACTGGGCACAAAGGGGAGGTGGAGTAAAATAATCCAGAGGTCTTACCTTGCAGGAGGAGCAGAGCAACTGCGTGCAGCACCCTGGTGACAGTCATGCTGTGCTCTGGGGACAGGCAGTGCTGGCTTCCTCTCTCTGCTGGGGCTGCTGAGCAGCAGCAGGTCCCTTTTCAGCACGGGGGGGGAGCAGATTTCCCATGACTTCATCCCCACCAGGGTCTCTGCCCCTTCCCTTCTCGCCGCCGTTCCACTCTCCTCTGCCCCCACCTCACATTTCCCGTGTGTTGGCGACTGCTGAGAAATCAAGTGACCTCAGAGGGCCCAAAAATGAAACTGGTGGGCGACAGGATGGGGGGGACTTCACCTGGCACCCCCCTCCCAGCTCTGCCTCGGGGGGGAGCAGGAAAAGGGTAAGAGAACCCTGGCCCTGTGATGCTCCAGCTGCGCCGTGTCCAGGATTTCATTCCCAAAACGGGAAGGCAGAGCAAGGTGGCTTGAAAATCTGGCTGTGTGGTTTAAATCCCTGGGGGAAAAAAAAAGTCCTTGTGTCACTCTGCTCTTGCCCCCCAGGGGGTTTGTCTGGCTCTTTTTGCTGGGGTGAAATAAGGAGAGGAAGGTAATTTTTGCTGTGTGTGGTTTGTGGCTCTCCAGGGAGGGCAGAGCTGGGGTGAGGTGGTTGTGAAGGGTTTGCTGAGCACGGAGGGCAGGGATGGGGACAGTGAGCAGGACTGGTGGCACAATTTGGGTTCCCCATGTCCCCTTGCAGGTCTGATTATTTCAGGAGTGATCTGAGCCTTAGGAAAGCTTCTGTGTCCCCCGGGTCTGGGATTTATCCCAAGATTTATCCATGTGTTTCGTGCTGTGGCCATGTGTGGTGACTTCCAAAAGGCTTTGGCACATCCTCTTCTGGGCTTTCTTTGCAACTGCCCAAAATTTCGTGTAAATGGCTATTACTGTCAAAATAAACTGACTTTAATAAGGTCAGAATTATGGCTTAAAAGCTGTGTGCACTTGCAGGATGTGGGCTTGAGGGAAGTGGACAAAATGGTTAATTATAAATGCATTACTGGTTTGGCTTCTAATTTATTAGAAACTGTTTCCATTAAACTTTCAGGTGCAGGGAAGTGCATCATTCTATTAGTGTACATTTGATTTATAGAAGTTATGGTTTCTATGTTAATCATAATATAATCAGTTTTACTGGGATAGAGAGCTGCAGGTCATGAATTCATGGAGTTGGTTTGAAAGGGAAGAGTCTCTCTGGCTGATAAAACTATTGGTGGATTAAAAAAAAAAAATCCAAATTCAAGTTAGCAGTGCTTTGGGTTTAGAAGTTGTGCTTCCATTCCACACATGAAATAAGTCTGGGGGGGGGGAAAAGGCAACAAGGAGATGAGATTCCAGGGAAAACCATATTAGAGAGGGTTTTGTTGCCATCTGCTGTCAAACGGATGAACTTCACCATCAGTGCAGGGAACAAAAACGTGCCTCAAATTCCACCACGCTCCAGAGGAAAACTGGAATAGGAAGGGTGTTTGGCATCTTTATTAAATCACCTATGAGACTTTTTTGTTTGTTTTTGTCTGACTTCCGAGAAATCCATTTAATGTCAGAAGCGAATTAAACTGCAGTGGTTGTTTTAACAGTTGTTAGCACTCGAAACTGAGATTAAAAACAACCAACCAACCAACCCCCCACCCCCCGCCCCCAAAATAAAAAAATACAGATGTCACAGGTAATTACAGCTATTTTTGGCAATACAATTATTGGTTTTTTTAAACAGCAAACATTTTTTTTCCCCCTCAAATAAATACAATCTGCTCACACTAAAAAAAAAACCAAACAATAAAAACATAATAAACAGAATGCTACAACAGGTTGAAAATGAAACACCAGGGAAGGTGGTAACATCGAGTTTGAAGGGATGTCACCGAGTGAAACTTCAGAAAATACATTTGAATGGGAAATAATAAAGGAACTGGCTGTGTGTTTTCTGTCAGGAAGCTTGTGCAGGTCATGAATATTCCCCAGGGAACAAGTATTTGAGGAAGTGGTGAGCAGTAAGTAGCAATTTAGGGTGTTTGCAGCCAATCACACCTCCTGCTTAATTGCATTTATTTTCTTCATTGATTCACCGTTTCAAGCATGTCTGCCCCCACCATCATCTCATGTGTATTTTTAACTTAAAAATAATTTCTTCTGTGCTCAGGCTCTTTTTTTAAGAAACAAAGCAAACCACAAACCAAAACTCGTTCTTTGGTGATAAAAATTATCCCTCTCATGGTAACATTGACACTAAAATGTAATATCAGAGGGGAGAAGGAGGCTCCTGCTCTCAGCCAACTTCTTCCTGAAACTGTTCAATCTGAGAGAAAAGGGAAATAACTGTGTTTTTTTTTAAGTTATTATGGTCTGGATCCTCATTTTGCACAAAAAAAGCAAAGCTCTGTGACTTCAGTTGACAGCATCAATTTGACTCTTTTGTTTTTCTAACCCAACCCATGAGTTGCAACTCATGAAAATACTGGACTAACAATTTATTCTTGGCAGCTTTATTCCTTAATTAGGGAAAAATCTGGGAATTATTTGCCTCCTCCAACCTGATGAGACTGTTGGGATCTGATGCAGCTCAAAGTGAAGGCAAGGGAAAGACTTGACATAGATCAAGTCTAAATTTAGGATAAAACACTGGAGTGACTTAAATACACATTAATGAGCAGCAATGGAGTGAAAGTGAAGCAGCAATTGTTTTGTACCCTTAATTTCTCAATTAAAAATTTAAAAGGAACACGTTTTTATTCTTTTTTCCCCGCCCCCCCAAATAAACCTTACCAACATGAGACAACACAAAACCCCAAAGAGAAATCAAAATGCTAGAAGAAAATAAGATTTTTTTCTTTCTTTCTTGACACCTAATCGGAGACAAGACTACAATTGTCAAAATACTTTCCCAAACATCAAAAAATATACTTTTTTTTTTCTTTAAGAAGAGAATATTTTACCACTACTTTCTCCAACAGAACATTCTTCTATATCACTATATGCAAAGAGCAGCTTGTACACTATTCAAATTGTGCACTCAGGTTTTGTTCCCTCTCTGTTTCATGTTTCTGCTTAAAAAAAAAAAAATAACCCTTCTTTTATTGTCACTTAACTGCAGCAGGGCCTGAGCAGCCTCCACTGCTTTGTACAGGCAATAAATATTATAATATAATGATTTTATTGCCTCCACTGCTTTGTACAGGCAATAGATATTATAATATACTACTATTTATTGCCCAAATTACATCTGGCTGGCCCCCAGCATGAAACAAAAAGCAACCTGGAGAATTCCACATCAGGAACCAAATTTCTTTTGGTGTGATTGTCAACTACTTGGTTTTTAAGCGTGGAGGAAAACAAGCCAGAAATGCTCTTCAGGATGTCTTTGCACAGCCCAAACCAGTTTAAATTACAATTAAAAATTAAACCTGACAGTGATAAACCTGCCCAGGAGCAGTTTGCTCTGTCATCCCATGAATTATCTCCCTGACTTTGCAGTTGCACCCCTGGGATAATAATGCACTTACAAGTGGCCCAGGGTGTGTTACACAGGCAGAAAGGTCCAAATCCCAGAATATTCCTACAGATGGTGACAGTGGACAGGGTTTTGCACAGGATGAGCTCTGTGCTGGCTGGAAATATGTACAGAATCTGGTGGTCAAGCTCGATTAAACCCAGAGACAAGCTGAGCTCGTCTGAGTCTGGTGACATCTGAGTCTGGTGCATCCCGGTTTTGCCTCGTTTGGGAAGAGGGAATTGCAGTTTGTGACTCCTGCTTTGTTCTGGCTGCTGGAACGGCAGCTTGGATGTGTCCTGGTGGAGGTGGGACCAGTCCTGCTGAAGGCTGGATGGCTTAAAATAAATCAACACGAAGGCAACTCTGATCTAGGAATATTAAACCTACATCAAATTGGACCTGTGTTGACCCATTCACACATTTCAAATGAGGGCTCTGACACTTTGTGCAGAGGAAAAGCAGGACACAAGGATGCTGGAATGTCTCCCTGGTGCATCTGAATGTGCCTTTGATGCTATTTTTTTATTGTTACCTTGTTTTTACTCTTTGTTGCCCAGTGAAACTGTTGATGCCCCATCCCTGGGAGTGTCCAAGGCCAGGTTGGATGTTGGTCCAGTGGAAGGTGTCCCTGCCCATGGCAGGGGGGTGGTGGAATGAGATGAGCTTTAAGGTCCCTTCCAACCCAAACCATTCTGGGATGATTCTATTTCTGGGAATACTCAGCCCTGTCTTGGTTTGAGCCATAAATCTATGCCTAAATCTCTATCATCCCACTTCAGCACATTTTTAAGTACCTTCTGACAGTGATGAGATCCATACAAGTGTCTGCAGCAACATTTTCACCCAAGGCTGATGACTTAGATAATTCTAATCCAACCCCCCCTGCTCTGATGCCACTTTATTCTCTAAACTACCCACTGTGGTGTATTTTGCATTCTCCTGTGACACAGCTGGCACTGGCATCCCACAGGCCCTTGCACCAGGAGGACCCCTCTTGTGATTCCAAAGATTTTAGTTAAAGATGGAAACTCTCCTCTTCCCCTTCTCCCAAAATCCTAACCCTTCCCCCACTGGATAAACAGCATCTTCATAGGCCAAAGCATGTTGCTCCTAAATTTAAGTGTACTGGGTTTATTTTTTTTTTTCAGCTGCTTTGTCTTTGTGACAGATGGCACTTGGGAATTAAGGATAAGGAAGCAAAGCACTGAATTCCAGCATCTTTTTGAGTTTCATCATTCCCTCCTGGAGAAAGCTGCTTACTGCAGAATCTCACCAGGGCTGGCAAAAAAAAAAAAAAATAAATAGCTCCCAGGGGACAGAAAGCCACCCCTGTGTGAATGACCAGCACAAAAATCTCAGTAGAAAAGGGAAACCCCTTTTCTGAAGGGAATTGAAATGGCACAAATGCTTTAGGCTGTGTCTGTGCACAGGGATGGATTTCAATAACCAAATTCAGCCAACCCTGAACTTTCTAAATCCTCCAGGTTTGGCTGAAATAGGTTTATTTTATCTCCCCTTGAAAGAAACTGCTCCCAGTCT